TCGAACTGTTTGTTGCTAAGATGATTTCGGTGGTCCTAAAATGATGAATGGGCTGCACGTCAGGAGACGTAATTGATAATTCTCCTGAATATCCTGGTAAATACACTTTGACTTTAGTAACATTAGGGGGCCACCAAACGACGTTTACTAACTGTTGACTCAAAAACCAGTATTTTTTAGCATGAAAGCTAGCGATTTGCATTTATAAGATTAAAACCCTGCTAAATATGTTCAACATTGCTATCACTATGAGATTAACTGGAAATAGGAATAACTTTTCGGTCATCAAAACAAAACTTTATTTTTCTACTTTTAATGCTCTTTCCTAATGAACCTTGCCTTGCCAAACCAACAACACCATCAGATAGAGGAAACTCTCTGCTATTCGATAGTGGTGTTTTATTAGTTAGGTGAGCTTCGGTATGCGACATAAGGTCATTACAATTCGTTTCATCCGCCCTTCTGTATTGTTGGTCGAGCTCGAAAATCTTTGTTCTAAAACTATACATACACGGTAAAAAGTTATCACATCTAATCCAAATGCTCTTGCAGTATGTTAGGCCGGTCGCAATGCTGTTGTATTTTATAAGGACTGTTTCAATTTGAAACTAGAACAGAAACGCACCTCTCGCAATGCTGAGTTGCAGTTTCATTATTCGAGCACTATTTTGCACCAGATTTGCAACTGCTCGACTATTCTGTTTTATTTCTGAGCGAGTTTGAAACACGAACTCTGTTTCAAATTTCTTTGGATGTGTTAAAGATGTTTCGAAGAGCTTCACAAACAAAAAATGGAGAACTTCATAGAGAACAGTAAAGTTTATGGAACTTGATGATTACAAACATCTTTTAGAACTGTGCGTTGCGCTGATCGTGTTGCAGTTTTATTTTTGACAATCCATGAAGAAAGAGCTGTCGCACGGCACGTTTTTGAGTTAAAATGAAATTGTCCCCTGCTAAAGGTTTTCTCGGGGGCCTACCGGAGGTCCCGAGAGCGGCCAATGTGGTAAATGATTCACTTTAAGTCTATAGCAAGAATATTCATGAAAACCCATGAAAAACGAGCTGTCGCACGGCACGTTTTTGAGTTATAACGAAATTGTTCCCTGCTACAGGTTCTCTCGGGACATCCCAGTAGTTCCGAGAGCGGCCAATGTGGTAAATGATTCACTTTAAGTCTATAGAAAGAATATTCATGAAAATCTATGAAGAAAGAGCTGTCGCACGGCATGTTTTTGAGTAAAAACGCAATTGCCCCCTACTACAGGTTCCCCCGGGGGTATCCCGTGATTCCGAGAGCTGCCAATGTGGTCACTGATCCATTTGAAGTTTAATGAATGCCTATTCATAAAAAAAACCATGAAGAATGAGCTGTCGCACGGCATGTTTTGGTGAAAAAATGCAATTTTCCTCTGCTCCAGGTTGCCGGAAGTTCCGAGAGTGTCCAATGTGATCAATAATGCATTTAAAGTTTATTGAAAGTCTATTGACGAGAAACCATGAAGAAAGAGCTGTCGCACGGCATGTTTTGAGTGATTAAATGATCTGCCCGCATTCAGAACCCTTCACCAGAACCGATTCCAAGGAAATAGCTTGGATTGGTTGGATCTTGGTTGATTATAGGCCGGTTTTAGTTCTTGGCATATGATTCGCTTTAGAAATGGTTCTTCTTTTGTTGTATTTACTAAAAATATATATATTTAACCAGCATCATATGAGCAATTCTCTACAGATTGACGAATTTTTTAATTTTTTTTTTAATTTGTCGGCTCCGATTTTGATGAAAATTTGCACAGTTGTTCTTTTTTAGTAAAGATGCCAATTTGTGTTATCAGTTCTTCAAATTGAATCACGACTACTTTTCTAACAGGGCCTGTGTAAAAATAGTACTAATGAGTTAAAAAATTAATATTGCTGAAACGCTTTGTTCGATTAATTTGGTGTCTTGAGCAAAGTTGTAGATATTATTTTGGAATTAATGTTAAAAATATACACTGTAACAAAATTCGTTTGTGACAATGAAAAAAAATATATTTTTTATTAAAAAAATTAATTTCTCAAAAAGTACATTACAAACTGGCAAAGTTTGGTGATGGTAAACTGAAAAACAAAAAAGTTATGATTTTTTTGAAAATTTCACGGTTTTTACATTTACATTAAAAACACATTTTTTTCAACCGTGTATATTTTTTCAAGAATTGCATTTTAATTTTGCACAACTTTCTCGAAGACACGAATGCAATCAAGCAAGCCGTTTTTGCAATGTATTAAAATGTTTATTTTATAAGCGCTTTTCTACACAGGCCCTATCGGAAAAGTAGTCGGGGTTCGCTATTACAATTTGTAATAGCGAATCCCGACTACTTTTTTATTTTAAAATCTCAACTTAAATCCACAAAATACATTTATCTGCTCTTTTTTACTTTTCTTTTATTCGAAAACCTTATGGACAAATGATACATAATTTATTTTCATTGTAATACACTTACTTTCTATTTTTATTTACATCACTTTTTAAATACATCGAATATTTTGGCATCATTATCATTACAGTTTGAGTATCGTTTGGCTTTAATTTTATTTTCTGATACATGAATGAAAGAATGAAACTTTTGAGTTCCTTGAATTATTTTTGCATTATTATATTGCTCGTTGAGGTGTGAAGCCATACTTTCGTATTCCTCTGTTGTGGCAAAACTAAATGATAATTTTGTTAATTCTTCTTCTTTTCGATTATTTGCCCAATTATAAAGCTCTCTTGCATTTTTTATTGGATGTTCACGTTCTTTGGCCAAACTTGCTCTAGTAGCCATACGTTTTATTGTACCTCCAATAGCGTCACAATGACCTTTCCCATGTGATGTTGCAAAGAAATGCCATTCGGCTTCAATTCCATACTTTGATTTAAATTTACAAAGGCTAGCAAAATTTTTCCGGTTCTTGTACTGTGACGCGGCTCCATTGAGTTTACCATCACCAAACTTTGCCAGTTAGTAGCAAACATTATGAGCTTCAATGAAGCTTAAAACGAAAATTTTCAAAAATGTACTTTTTGAGAAATCAACTTTTTTAATAATAAATATAATTTTTTTCATTGATACAAACGAAATTTTTTACAGTGTATATTTTTTACACAATTGCCAAAATAATATCTACAACTTTGCTCTAGACCCCAAATCAATCGAACAAAGCGTTTCGGCAATATATATTTTTAAACTCATTAGTACTATTTTTACACAGGCCCTTTTCAAAAAGTAGTCGTAATTCAATATGAAAAACTGAGAGCACAAAATGGCGCCTTTACTAAAAAGGAACAACTGTGCAAAGTTTCAGCGTAATTGGAAATGATCGGTCAGGATCGATTTGCGAACCTTCGTGGAATGCCTCATATATAAAATTTCACCAAAAATTTAGCACGTTAGACAAGCCCTCCGGAAACCCGGAATATCTCCGGTATCCGGTGACCAGCATTATTCTCGTGGCTACACGGTAAAAAAATATTAGTTTTCCAGTCAAATACTCTTGGAATATTTAAAATCGGATCATATTTGACTAAGTTACAACACTCCAAAGTTGACCAAAAATTTACCTATCCTAGTTATTTTGAGTACCCCTGTATGTATCCAGCTTTCCATGCTCGGTAATGGCGTCCTGTTTGTATGAAAAAATGTATCCTTCACTGTGCTATCTGGAGGTTCGGATTTTGACCCTTCTCTTTCCTTCTCCCAGAAACAGAAGAAAATGGAACAACATACGCCCTCCAGTTAGTGTCAAAAAGCACAGTGAAGGATCCATTTATTCATACAAACAGGCCGCCATTACCGAGCATGGAAAGCTGGATACAATAGAAAATCTGAAAAGAAATTATTTTCTCTATATTATATGTCTATTGAGTAGTGTTATGAACGGTAACGGACCACTACTATATGTTTTGTTAGTTTGTAAGGATTAACTAGTGTTAATCAATTTTTCTTCTTAAATGAAATAAAGGCTTATCTATGTAGATTGGACGGGAGACTAGCCTAGCTTTTTATTCTGGACTCTCATCTAGAGTGTCTTTTCGTATCTTGATCGATTACACTCTTAACATTAATTACTCTGAACAGGGTAGATACTACAAGTAGCTCTTAAGTTTTCTACTAACGTAGCATTAACCCGAATTAATTAAAATAATGTGTTCGCAAAATAAATGCATTTTAAGATTGCATTCGTATATCTCACCATGCAAAATTTTAAAACCATCATCACATGCATAGTTCTTCTATTCTCCACGGAGGCCAACTTTGATTTGCCAATAGTAGGGTTGTTTTTACCAGTTAATAAGGTTCACGCCGCAGCCGCCGATTTTGATCGGCGAACATATCTATTTCCTACAACGTTGATACATGAGCTAACTTCGATGGTGATCCCAAGTAACATTGCATGTTTTATCGAGGTTTTAAAGCATTCTCAAATCCTAAATCATAGTCTACACAACCCTAAGGAAATCAAAATTGTTACTTGGGATGGTTCCAGTTTGCAGAAAATCTTCACCAGAAAGTCACGCTGGTCGTTCGATGTTCCCATTTATGACATGTCTCACTCAATTAGAACAAGGAAAATTACGCGCTTCAAGAGCGTAAAATGAGCAAGCACTATTCTGCCGGTGGAAGCATAATTGTCCCATGTGTATATGGAGCTCCATTGAACATGGGACAATTAGGCATCCACTGGTAGTATCCTACTCCTTTCTCTCTATTAGCAGATAGATTAGTTAGCAGTCATGAGGTGTGAAATTGCTCCACTCTTCGCGCTTAGATTTGGCACCGTCGTCGTCGTCATCGTCGTGCCTTTGCTGCCGCGAATCGGCACCGACATATAAATTGTACAAACATTGGACTTGTCCGTTGTAATTGCCGGTGATACGTGCGATGAATGGTCGCCTTCGAATGAGCAAAACAGCCTCCCTCCGCGCTTGTCACAATTATAATATAAAAAATTTCATTTCTTTTCCTCAACAGATCAAAACCTGGCAGACTGAAAACGTGAAGATTGATTAGGGAATTTTAAGTGGCAACCCGTGTCTTATTTACAGCTGTGATTAATCAGCGGTCACTCCTATAGAGTGAACTGTTCAGTAGAATTAAGCAGCCAATATCAATGTGGTGAAGCAACCCGAGGAGGACCGGAACGTGCTTTGAACCTGCAGGATGAAATTCGCGGAACACCTCTCCGCTCACATTACTCCAGAATGGCGGAAACAGTACATCAACTACGAGGTAAGTCGCGCCAAATAAAGTTCACAAATCCATCTGCACATAGCCGTAAAAAGGCTTCTCCCAAGACGGAACGAGATCACGTGCTTTTACCCATTCCATAAACGCCCGTCCCACTTCGTTCAGTGCTTATCATATTTTTTTTTTTGCAGTAAGAAGAGTTAGGTATTTATTCGACGAAGCGATATGCCGTCGTCAGTCAGTCAGTCAGTCGTCGTCACCGAGAGGTCGTTTTGCGATTTGTATTCAAGGCTCAGCTGTGTGACACGAAGCTCTGCTCCCAGAAACACGTGATACAGAAGGGGGGGCCAATATGGTCGGTCCGTCAATCGATCGGAATGGCGTAGCCGGCATGGCATCAAACAAGTACGACATGGTGGCCAATTAAAACTGCACTTGACTTAGGGGGTTATATTGTTTTGTATTATTTTATTACCACCTTCTTCTCGTCGGTGAAAAGGGGCGATTAGGGCTGGGGTAGTCGTCTTTGAACTTGAAAATTTCCAGATGAACATTTCAGACTTTCTCTTTCGTTAATAACTCAGCTGAAAAAAACATTCTTTGTTGTGTTGTGTAGGAAAGTCGACGAAGAGAATCGATCAAAGCACCGTTAGGACCTTTTAAAATGCTCATCTAGATTCGTCAGGGTTGTCAAGTACCGTAGAATCCCGTTAGTTTGAACAGCTAAAATCGCACTTAAACGGCACTCATATAGAATTTGGTTAACTGGTGCGTAACGCGATTGGGCACCTCTGTAGCGGTGCCAGTTAATCACAATCGAAATGAGCGTTATGTAATTGCAATTTTATCTATTCAAACTAACGGGGTTCTACGATACAACCCGAAAGTCTCAATGTTACATTTTGTTATTTGTGACCATTGAAAGTCACTTGGTTGAAAATGTCATCACACATATACAATCATTGAAAACTGTTGCCCCAGTCTTCTTTAGGCCAAATCGAGTGCCGTCATCAGATCTTGGATAGATAAGCGTAGCACGATGGCGGGACACGGTGAGAAGTGAAAATTGAAATGTAAATAAATAAATGATTTTATTAAACTGTCGGCGGCGGAACGCCGTCATCAACAAACACGGTTTTCGGTGCTCGGCTGATTTGTGATACAAAGTTGCATCTGAAAGTGTGGCAAAAGTGATAACAACATTTTAAAAGGGCGTTCTTACTTTGCTCTCGCCCTTTTGCAATTTTCGATGTCAACAGTTCGGGTACTGAAAAACAAGTTGAAAATGTGGATTCAGTGCCACCTTTTTTGGCTCAAACAAACCTAATTATGAGAGCAGAAGTTTACCGGCTGACTTGTCATATCTTCATACAGTCGTAAATCATTGAAAATATCGGAGCAGAAGCGAACGGAGGAATTAAGCCGCGCCATGACGTTTGATTGTTTGATTGATTTATGCTTCGGTTGAATTTTGAATGTAACGCTTGCACGCAAACAGCCAGATGTCGTGCCAAAGTCAGTGGGTGGAATTCGATACATCGTCTGTGGTAATGTTGGTAAATTACTATAAATGAGGGTTGAGCAAACATCGATAATATCGATGTCAAATTTATAGATACGATTTCCGATATCTTTTAACACGATATCGATCAATCGTCAACGTCATGTCGGTATTTTGGGACCCTTTTTGCCTAAGTTTAAGGACACTATTGACGGAATCCATTGCAATATGTTTTACCAATTCGGGAACCCATCTAGCTATCTACTTAATGGACAAAGATCAAAATGAATCTACATGTATTTTTTTATACAGATTTATTAAGGAGACTTTCAGCCCTAGGCTGGTTCGTCTTAGTAGATCTACATGTCTGCTGCAGACGCATTTCGCGCCGAATCGAATCGAAGCTGGCAACACCTTCTCAGATTTCAATGAAATTTTCTGGATGTGTAGACTTTGACTAAATAAAATCTTTTGCATACTCAGTTTTTCCAAAATTTATCTAGACTAACATTTGAGAAGGACCAAATTTTTTCCGCCGATTTTTTTCAAAAAAATATTATGGAAAAATGACAACTCCTACAAAAATATGTTGTATGGATGACTTTTAGGAAATTATCCGAGTTTTCGAGAAAAAAAATACTAAAAAATTCAATTTTAGACCTACACTGAAAAAAATCGATTTTTAAAAATTAAAGTCGATTTTAAAAAAATGGCCATGTTTGATTAGGATGAAACTTTGCCTCAAGATAGGTAATAAAGTTTACTACCATCCGTCCATACATCGCAAGATGGGCACTTTTAAGGAAAAAAAAAAGTTTTTCTTACAAACTGATTTTTAACGTACCATTTCACACAAAACTAAACCTTCTTCTTTCCTTTATTTAACGTCGGCCTCTGTTCCGCAATCTAGTGCCAATCACCGACGGACATCGATTGCCATCCATTGACGGCAATCGAATGTGCAGGAAGGCAGCTTCTACACCTGCGTAGGATATCGCACCCATTCAACACACATGGGCCGGGACCAACGGCTTTACTTCCCTTCCGAAGGAGGACGTGACCAGAGATTTTTATGCCTCAGAAAAATCCCACCGACCTCGGCTGGGATTGAACCCAGACCCATCGGGGTGTTAGAAAGCAGTCACGCTTACCTCTACACCACCGGCGCCGGCCCAAAACTAAACCAGTGAAGCTCGAAATCATTTCAGAACCCAACGAAGCTCAATTTATGATTCAATTTTGTCTAATCAGCAATTAAATTCACTTTGATCAATCGAGATTTTTTTATGAAAAGGGCTCATGATGCATTTCTCGCCAAATCGTATTCGGAATTAGCAGCACCAAATGGAATTTTTTTCAGTATTTTTTTTTTCGAAAACTTGGACAATTTCCTAAAAGTCATCCATACAACACATTTTTGTAGGAGTTGTCATTTGTCCATAATATTTTTTTGAAAAAAATCGGCTAAAAAAGTTTGGTCCTTCTCAAAGGTTAGTCTAGATAAATTTTGGAAAAACTAAGTAAATGCAAAGTGGCTTATTTAGTCAAAGTTCACACATCCAGAAAGTTTCATTGAAATCTGAGAGGGCGCTGCCAGCTCCGAATACGATTTGTACGATTTGGCGCGAAATGCGTCTACAGATAAGCAATTAGGAGAATTTACGTATTCTCGGCAACCTAAGGCCGTTCGCAATGCTGTTGTATTTTATAAGGACTGTTTCAATTTGAAACTAGAACAGAAACGCACCTCTCGCAATGCTGAGTTGCAGTTTCATTATTCGAGCACTATTTTGCACCAGATTTGCAACTGCTCGACTATTCTGTTTTATTTCTGAGCGAGTTTGAAACACGAATGGAACTCTGTTTCAAATTTCTTTGGATGTGTTGGAGATGTTTCGAAGAGCTCCACAAAAAAAACGGAGAACTTCATAGAGAACAGTAAAGTTTATGGAACTTGATGATTACAAACATGTTTTAGAACTGTGCGTTGCGCTGATCGTGTTGCAGTTTTATTTTTGACAGTTTCAAATTATAGAATTGACGAGTAGTTTGAAACAATTTTGAAACTCAGCATTGCGAACGGCCTAAGCAGCGATCAACTTTCTATAGTCTTTTTCTCTAAAGTGAACCCGAGGGGGACGACTCTATCTACGCTGCAGGAAAGATTGTGTTGTGTTGTTGCTAGCTGCTCGCACGCTGAGTAGATAGAAAGAAAATTGATGACGATTCTGAAGATTTCCTGCAAAAAGATGATGCGCGATGCAAGTAGATGCGAGAAATGCAAGAAGATTTTTCGAAGGTTGATTCGCTACTGTGAGATTTTTTGAGTATCTAAAATTGAGATTTAGATGTGTCGCCCCCCTCGAGGGAACCCCACACATATCAATATATTGACGCGAAGGGGAATTATTGACAATAATATTGATGATGTGAATACAGAAATATTGTCAATACCGAGGGGGGCGACTCTATCTAAGATGCAGGAAATTTATTGCTTTGCTGTAGTGAGATGCACTCGCCCTTAATAGATAGAAACACGATTGATTGTGATTTTGAAGATTTCCTGCAAAAAGGTGGAGAGCGATGCGAGTAGATGGGTTTAGATGCGAGAGATGAAAAAAGATTTTTCGTAGATTGATTCGCTAGTGTGAGATTTTTAGACCATTTAAAATCGAGATTTAGATGTGTCGCACCCCTCGGTCAATACCAATGTATTGACGTCAATATTGAATGTATTGACAATACGATTATTGTCAATAAATGCAATCGTGTAGGGTCCACTTAAGGAACGTACACATATGCATTATTGGTTTGTTTACAATTTTTTGCTGCCAGCTGCTCTAACAATTTCAGTTGAAAGAATTGTCAAAAACTGTTTTGAAACGCTTTTACAAAGCTCCAATCTTCTCTAGTGAGAGCGACTATGGTGGGCAACATCTTTTTATTCGGCAACCTTCCTATTTGAGCTGCGTGTTAAACAGCTGTGCTTTCATCGGCAGCTCGAAATCAGCAGCATTTTGTAGTGCGTGTGTTTAATTTCAAGAAAACCCTGCGAGATTACTTTTTCCCAGAGGTAAAGTGTTTTCGTAAGAAAATCCAGTGAAATAAGCGTTTCAATTTGGGTTGCCGAAAATAGTCTGTCATGCCGAAGCCGTCATTTCCCCTATCTCATTTAATTTTCACTTCTGTATGACTTCTGGATGACGTAATCAGTGCCAGTGAAAACGCGAAGTGGAGGGCTTCCACTAGGGGCAAGACAGCTCCTGATCATGAGCAATTTCTGAGTTGCGTTTGATGCACCTCGAGTAACTCACATTCCACAGTGAGAAAGATCACTGTCATTTGCTTTCTCACTTTTCGCATCACAGTAACATATGAAGGAACCCCTTCATGCGAAGCCGAAAAGCTGCTGTCAATCAAAACATCAATAAAAAAAAACATTTTTACAGAGCTCAATAACTCAGCGAAACTCGGAGACACTTCTAGATAGAGCTGGAATTAGGGCGTAACAGCTTTTGTAAACAATGACTTCTATCGATGA